GCCAAAGGGAGAAAACTGGCCACATGACCTTGGGCAAGTCACCAAACCTTCAAACTCGAGTATTATGTTCAACTGTGCGATGGGGATACCACCACCTGCCTATCTCACCCAGATCTATTTGATCACATAGCGCGGTAATGGATTTGAAAGGTACAAGGAGCTCTGCCAAAGAAGGTACCTGCCACCAGCACTCCCCACGGCTCCAGTTCCTCCGGGAGTAAGCCCGTCCCTGTGTTTTGTCCACCCCTGGCCAGCTGAGAACCCCCTTGACCGAAATTCCACCGAGGTGGCCCTTGAGTTTATTTGAACGGGAAGTCCCGATGAGACGGCCACTCACATCCGGCCCCCTGCCCACTCGTACTGTCCCTGTCCTTTCCCACAGGTGAAGTGTGTGCGATACTGGCCGGACGACACAGAGGTCTACGGGGACATTAAAGTCACCTTGATTGAGACAGAGCCCCTGGCAGAATACGTCATCCGCACCTTCACGGTCCAGAAGGTGAGCTCCCCCTCCGCCGTACAGCCTGTCCTCCAGGCAGGCCAGCTTGTTTGTTCACTCAGGACACACGGTGACCGAGGGGCTGCTCCGGACCCTCCCTGCACTGGGCACTGGGGACAGATCAGCAATCAATTTAGACATGGATCTTGCTCTACAGGACCCCACTTCTAGCAGAAGGGACAAACAGAATTCACCAAATAGATAGAATAATGACATACGGTGATGTAAGGCCCAGAGGAAACATGCCAAGGGTGGACATGGAAATCCACAGGTGGACAGGGTGGTCAGAGAGGGCCTCCTGGAGGTGGAGGCAATTGAGCAGACAGTGAAGGATGAGAAAGAACCAGCCAAGGGAAGGGCAGGAGGAATACTATCCTAGGCAGGGGGAAAGAAACATGCAGAGTCTGGAAGGGAAAGATCTTAACATGTCCTAGGCCTGTGGTTCTCAGCTGGGGGTGATTCCGTCCCACAGGGGACATTTACCAGCATCCAGAGAAATTTTAGTTGTCAAAATGATAATTTCCACTTTCTAAAAGCCAAGTCATTCATGAACCAAGTGGCCACAGGCCTGAGGATGCAAAAGCACCGGGGACATCAGTGCTTTGAGAACTGTGCCCTTGGGTGTTGACAAATCCTCGTGCCAAAGCAGGCACATGCACTGTGCTGTCCCTGCATGCATAGCGGTGCCAGGACACACTGTCTGCTCCCAGCCACTCCCTTTCTGACCCCCAAGCTTCTAAAGGCCTATATCTGCAGATACAAGGTGAAGAGCCAGGAAGGAGGGCACCCCTCCGCTACACAGAGGACAACAGCAGGTACATAGCTGTGGTCTTGGGCCTGGTTCCTTAGAAGCAGAGCCTGAGACAAGGATTCAGGTGCATGTGGTGTACTGAGGGAGTGCTCTGGGAGAAACTTGTAAGAGAGGGAGGGAAGCAGGAGAGGGAGGGGGAAGGGGCAGGGCAAAGTGGTCTTTGGCTTATCCACTAGGGTAACCCACCATCCTGGTCTACCCAGGTTCCCCCTGGTTTTCGCACTGAAAATCTCGTGTCCGGAGAAACCTCTCAGTCCTGGGCAAAGTGACAAAGTCAGTTGGTCACTGAATGCCAGTTGCTCACCCCCCACCCCCAAGAGGGGGTGGTTCCTGTTCAGCAAAGAGCAGTTCTCTGAACAAGGAGTGACTGGGAGCTGTGCACAGCCAAGATCAGGAGAGCTGGTGATGGGTGCACTGCCCAGGAAAGGGGATCCGAGTGGGCACCAAACAGTGCCCTCGACACAGCCCCCAACACTCCCACCCAAATCCTTACTCCACGTAGCAGCTGGCATCCTGCTCCCCAGATGCCCATCTGGTGGTGCACTTCCCCTTCTGTGCCACCGTCCGGGCAGCCTCCCTATAGCTCCCAATGCCTCTGGGATAAAGTCCAACAGCCTTAAAGTGTCTTCCAGGATCCAGCCCGCGCCCTGCCTCCCACCCCGCCAGTCCCACTGTCCGTCATCGCATGTCTTCCACTCTCCTCTGGGGTTGCTCTGGGCTGTTTGTGATTCTGTTCCTGTACTATGCTGAGTCCTGTCCCCATGCCCTTGCCCGAGCTGCCTTTCTGCCTAGGAATTCCTCCATCTCTTCTACTGGGTGATACTCAGGCATCAATGTATCATAACGATTAGGATGACAGACTATGGAGCCAAACAGCCAGGATTTAGATTGGAACTTTACGATTTACTCATTGTGTGACCGTGGGCACATTACACTTGTATAGCCTTCATTTCTTCATCTATAAAATGGAGATGATGATATGAGGATTGGTATGCGGACTAAATGAATTAGTATATTAAAGTGTTTAGAAGAGTGACAGGCACATAATTGATGCTTAATAAATGTTACCTACCCTTTCCACTCACTATTCATATGTTTCAAGACTCTGGTCAGGCATCACCTCCTTCAGGAAGCCTTCTCTGATTTCTCCTCTCCCTAATGAGCTGTTCCAGGAAGAAGGGCTATGGCTTTTATTTCCACCTTCCTAGTGCCTAATACAAGGCTGGGCACAGATAAACCTGGTGAATATTGTTTAACTGAAAGAATGAGCAATCAAACACTCTTCCTAATTAATGCCTCTGAAAATCTATAGGAGATTGATAAGCAAAGAAAAGTAAGTAGGAGGCAGGGGGCACTGCATAAGCAAAGGCTCAGAGGTGTAACCTGACTGTGAACTAGTCAAGAATCCCCATCTGGCCTGGAGTGTGTCTGTGTGAATGGTGGGGGAGAGGAGGGGAAACACTCCAGGCCCCACCACCCTGCCAGAGGAGCTCTGCTTTTGTTTCATATCTTATAGTTCTAAATAAGGATCTAATTAATAAAAAGTCTGCCTTTTTTTTTTTAATTTGGAAGTCATGGAGACTATCTTGGACAAGACTGGAAAATTGAAGGATACACCAGACCTCAATCACTGAAAGGGCCTCATTTTCCACCAGGGACAACTTGAACTTGGAGTTGAAGGCCAACAGTTTTCTGAATCTGTTCTGCTAAATATAAGTCCCATGAGATACTTGTCAAAAGAGGGGTCCCGGGCAAACAGTGTGGGTGTTATAAGCCCCCTTGGGAATTCTGCATGCATATTAGCACAGTAAAGGCTCTGAGAAGTCCTGCAATTAAAGTAGTTGCTTTCACTTTATTTACTTCTGAAGTTCCCAGATGTAACAGATCACGGAACCACTCTGCTCAGTAACACCTGTTAAGCCTTTGAGGGTCTTGTCCTCCTTGACAGCAGGGAGGCTGGTCCCTCAGTGCAGTAGCCGTGGCTCCCATGGGTGCCGGGCAGGGTGTCGGAGTGGGCAGCAGCTGGAGGAACAGAGGCGCGTTCTCTCCTCAGAAAGGCTACCACGAGATCCGGGAGCTCCGCCTCTTCCACTTCACCAGCTGGCCCGACCACGGCGTCCCCTGCTATGCCACCGGCCTCCTGGGCTTCGTCCGCCAGGTCAAGTTCCTCAATCCTCCGGAAGCCGGGCCCATAGTGGTCCACTGCAGGTAAGCGCAAGGCCCCCCACCCCAAGCAGGACGGCCCTGCAGCTCTGCTCTCTCGGTGCTCTTGCCCAGAGGCCTTTGTTCTTTGCCTCAAGTGCCGCCTGCCTGTCTCCGCTGTGCCTGCCCTTTCTGATGGGACCCAGGTCCTGAGGTCCAACAACAACAGTAATAGTAGCTGTAGTGGTCATTGTAACTGCTGCCCTGAAACGGTCACGTCCCCGAGGACGTGAGCCTGGCGCTGACGGCGTCGGCTACACGTACACCTCACCCACGTTATTTCCCTTACGTCTCCCCTAGCCTTGCGAGGTGGCTGTTTCTATCATTCCCGTTTTACGGATAAGAAAACCGAGGTGCCGAGAAGGTAGACAGACACTTTGCTCGGGTCACACAGGTGTGAAACGGCAGAGCCAGCACATTAACGTGATTTTCTCCAGACGCTCGCCCCCAGCTCCTTGGCCTGGTGGCAGGGCGCCCCAGTGGGACTGTGCTTCCCTTCAGTTCTATTATTTTAAAAACCAATTGCTGCCCCGCAGGGTCCTTCGTAGAGAATAAATGGACAGTGTCAGGTTTCACCTTATTATGGAGGAGGGGTATTTTCAGCTCTGACCCAGAAAGTCACATTGGGAATGACTGGCACGTCTTTGACTCCTCCTGAATGGAGATGAATTATCGTGTCAAGGGCATTAGGAATTGCAGGACGGTGGGTGTTCAGACCTGAAGGCCAGCGAGCATGTGTCCTCCCTCCCTCCCAGCACCTCTCTTTTTCAATGTGACCTTGGGCACAGCCCATCTTTGCAGACCCTGCTTGCTCTTAACTTTCCTGGCAGTGTCCATGTCAGTCAAGGTCTTGAGCCAAGTCAGGGAGAGACACCCTACACCCCTTTCTCACACAGCGTCGACTGACCCTCCCCTCAACAGTGACGTGTGAATTAGAAACCCCACTTCACAGATGAGGCCATTGAGGATTAGGAGGTAATACTGATCACCCCCTGGGCTCTCTTAAGTGTTTGGCATTTAGTCTGCTTTACATCTCATGACAGCGCAAGGGCAAGTCCCATACCCGAGAAGCAGCCAGAGCAGGGGTAAGGGAGAAAGGGGACAATAATAAGCATTTATCACGCCCTCCCTGCATGACGTCCCTACAACTGTGTCTCCGATCGGACACCGAATCACACTAAGCAGAGAGGTACCCACTCCTGAGTACCTCTTCGTCTTCCTCATCTTCACATCCCCACCCCCGATCCCAGCATCCAGTGAGTAATAGGTGCCCAGTAAGTATTTGGTGAATATAAGTAGCAACTATTTATTGAGAAATGGCTTTGTAGCCAGGGCTAAATAATTTACATGCATTATGCTTTTTCAACATAATTTCATGCAATTTACACGTATTGTGCTATTAACGCTATTATTATCAGCCTCATTTAGTGAAACCCGAAGAGATTGAGTCACACAGCCAGTAAGTGGTAGAGCCAGGATTTGATCCCAGGGGTCTGACTCCAAATAGCATGTGCTTAATTGCTATGTGAGGCTGAAATAAACAGATCATTCCTCCCAAAAACCCTGTAGGGGGAGTGTTACATGTGTGAGAAAACTGAGGCTCACAGACACCAGGCAGCTTGTTCACTGGTGGTGGATCCAAGATTCAAAATGAAGTTAGGCTGGTTCTTTCTCCTAAAACTGGTCGAGGATGAGACTCTGGAGAAGACATGCATGAGTGGCTCTTTGGTTTCCTTCCTAGACCCCGAGTCCCAGCCTGCTGAGTCCCATCTATGGGGCGGGGGGGCCTTGATTAGGAATGTGTTCTGGGGCAAATACCAGGCAGGCTTAATTCAAACCATGAAATTTTACCAAGAACAAAGACTCTGTTTCCCACAGATTTATTTTCCAGATCATGGAGGATGGAGCTCCACATATTGACTTTCCAGATCCTAGGGGGTGATGGTCCCACCGGCCTGTCCTCCTTCGAGTGATGCTTTCTTTCCTGCTCCAGCCCTCTTCCTCTTTGAGATTCCTTTCATTTCCATGTTTTCAGACAAAGACAGTTGTTTCCTTGAGGGAAATGAGACGTGACAATGCAGCTGAGGCAGGCCTCCTTGACAGTCTGGCCTTCACTCCCAAAACTGCATGCATTTAAGGCAAATGTCCTGTTTGTCTCTGGTTCAGCGCCACCATTTTTGAACCCACTTGATTTTGATCTGGGAAAGCCTGGCCATGGCCCATGGGGTCTCTTTGTGTTCTTTGCTATTTGTACTTGGCCTGAGGTTTTCCTAAAGGAAGCCACTGATGAGCAGAATCGAGGGTTTCAGGAGACTTGATATGGACCGGGGGTCTCAGGACTGTCGGCTGCTCTAGTTTAGGGATGCTGTTGCCTCATGAGCCTGGAAAAGCAGGTGCACATGGTACCAAACCCAAGGCTTCGGACATGGCACTGGGGACTCACTCTCTGCCTGGGAACAGCTCAGAGGATGTGATTTCTTCCCTCTTACTCACCTCTTCTCTGATCTCTCTCGTCTCTCCTTCCTTCTTCCATCCATTTGCTGAAGAAGACAAAAGAGAGGGAGAGACGGAGGGAGGCAAGTCAGGGTGGGGAAAACATGTTTATTAGGCATTTCCAGTGTGCTGGGCACCATGCCTGGAACTATATGGATGGATTACCGTTATCCATCAGATGAGGAAACTGCATGCATACATATGTCCGAGCACGCATTATGTGCTGTGACTGTTACAAAGAGAGGAGGTGTCAGAGCACAGACTCGAGCCAGACAGCCTGGGTCACAGTCCCAGCTCCAGCACTTGCCAGCTGACCTTGGACAAGGTAAGCACTCTGTGCCTCAGTTTTCTCACCCGCGTAATGAGGAGAGCAATTTCCTGACAACCTCGTAAGAAAATTAATAGGTAACATTGGGAAAACAGAACAAGGTCTGGCACTTTGGCACTACTAAATAAGTGTTCACTAAATGAGTTCAACAAAAATAAGCCAGTCTTGATAAAATAGCCCCCAATGGCAAACACTGCTCTCCCATTTTACAGAAGGAAGAACTGAGGCTCTGAGTTCAGTCATTTGATCAGGATCTCCCAGCAGCACTGGGATTTAGACTATTCTGTCTGACCTCTGCAGCATACTGACTCCCTCTGTGCAGGGTCCTCAGGGACTGGGCTGAATGGGAGGGGCCTGCCCAGGGTTGGTCCCACCCCCAGGTCCTTAATACAGACCACTGCCCTCTCTTCCAGTGCTGGAGCTGGGAGGACCGGCTGCTTCATTGCCATTGACACCATGCTCGACATGGCCGAGAACGAAGGGGTAGTGGACATCTTCAACTGTGTACGTGAGCTCCGGGCCCAGAGGGTCAACCTGGTGCAGACAGAGGTGAGTCCTGGGGTATGAGCTGACTGGACACCTGCAGCCCCGGCCAAGGAGAAGCATGGTTGAACAGAAGGACCCATGGGTGGAGGCATCCTATAGAAAGAGACCTGGGTGTAGGAGAAATGGGAGGGTATGGATACATGGCTTACTATGGTGAGACCATCATAGAAGCTGGTACCCCCCTGCCAACCCTGAGGTCCCCCAGTTCAAGGACTCCCACCAGTGAGGAATGGTTCTGGGTGCTCCATCTCTAAGGGCATCTAAGTGACTCAATGGCAACTTTCAGGTATTGTTTAAATAAATGCCAATCCCTCCCTGTGAATGCCTACTATGTGCCAAGCATCACTTCAGTCACTGCAGAGATAGCTTATCAGTAAAGTTATCGAGTTCCTGAGCTAGGCGTAGAGGATTCCAGGAGTGGTAACACACAGCTCCTGTCCTCAAGAGAGAGGCATACCTCATGTACTGCTCTGCACAGCTGGGGAGCCCAAATCATGAGGGAAATGGGCAGGGTTCATCTTTATTCTTGAGCACCCACTGTGTGCCAGGTCTTTTGTGTTCAGGGTATTGTTTCTACTTCTTACAACAATCCTATGGTAGCAGCAACTCATAGGGGGTAGCTCCTGGTAGTACCCCTTTCTTACAGATGAAAAAACTGAAATAGTATCCCCAAAGTCCCACATATCCAGACAGTGGTAGAACTTGGGTCCATGGGATCCTCAAGGCCCACGTTGTTCCCTCTGTACCACACTGTCTCTAGGAAGACTTTTCTGCCTCCCTTACTCCTGGAAGCCATGGTTGGTATTCCTATAATGAGCCCGTCTTCTGGTTCTAAGGCAGGCTGGAGGTGCCTGGGCAGCAGAGCTGGATAGATGAAAAGCTGCATCCCTCATCGACCCTGTGAAGACAAATTGCCCATGGCTTTGGGCATGGCCGGTCACTGCCAGCTCTGCGGGCAATTCCCTCATTTATAGGCTTATCCTCATAGGACCTTGCTCTGGGCTCTGAGCCAATTCCCCGGACCAATCTTCAGGCTTCTTGTTGAGGCCGCTAAAGCCAAGAGGCTGCTTTATCTGTTCCCAGGTTCATGCATGTGGAAGGCAGGCTTGCTGCCCGGCGTTAGACACATTGTGGTCCTTGCTGTCTGGTGGGGGAGACAGACTTTCAAACAGATCATGATGATGCCTCTGGATAAACATTTTATATAGAGAGATGGGCCGAGTTCTGCAGAATAGTCACTCAACAAACGGTTGTTAAGGGCTTGGAAGTAACAGCAACAAGTTCTGCCTGGTGGATTCGGAGAAGGCTTTCCGGGGGAATGAGTTACTGAGGGCGTCGAGAAGGGGGATGGTCTTCTAGGAGGAGAGCCACAGGTGCGAGAGCTGAGGAGGCCGGGGGCGTGGCAGGGGATGGGGGCGTGGCAGAGGCCAGGGCGCATGCTCCAGGATCAGAGTCTGGGACAAGGAGTTGAGGGCAGCCGGTTTCCTTGCGCGGTGAGTTCAAGATGCACTGGTCGGTGAGTGGGGAAGAGGCAGAGGGAAGGAAATTAATACTGTTAAAGTATTTTACAAGCTGTTTGACATTGTGGACAACTGGAGCCCAGTCCTGCTGGAGAGCTCCGAGATGGTGTGGGAAAGGCGCTTCCAGGATTTCCACCTAAGAGAAAGGAAACTTAGGCATTTTCCCCCAAGTCTCCATCTGGCATTGCTTGAAGCATCCTTCCTGGGGAGTTAACTCCTCGGCCCTGCTGCCCCCCGCCCCCACTGTGCACAGACTAAGTGTGCCGCCACCCTGGGGTGGGGGGGGGGCGTTAACTCTTCTACCCTGCTGGCTCCCTCTGCACAGCCTAAGTGAACCCCTGAGACAGAAAAAAAAAAAAAAAAAAGCCCTCGGCATGAATCTCAGGTGTTCGCAGTAAGCAGCCTTCATTCAGCAGGTAAAGGTGAGAGCTGAGGGCCTTGGGCAGGACACCACGAGCGCCTGCTACTGCGTGTCCAGAAGTTTCTACTTTTATCAGTGACTCCACTGTTGAATCTTACACAAGGGACAAAACTCAGATCAATCACCGAGAAACAGGGAAACTTGGCCCTTCAGGTTATAGGATGGGAAGTAGTGATTCGGCAGTGTCCGTCAGGCCCAGCCTTCACAAATGTGGCCGTCAGAGTCCCGGCCGCCCTCACCCTCACCCTGTCCCCGCCCGGCTTGGCAGGAGCAGTACGTGTTCGTGCACGATGCCATCTTGGAAGCGTGTCTCTGCGGCAACACGGCCATCCCGGTGTGCGAGTTCCGCTCCCTCTACTACAATATCAGCAGGCTGGACCCGCAGACCAACTCCAGCCAGATCAAAGACGAGTTCCAGGTACGCGCGAATCCCGGGCTCTGCGGCCCTGAGCCGGGGCGTGCGGTTTTCCTCGCGAGGACGGACTGTGCGTGCTTCCCGCGAGCGCAGCTCCGCGCGGCCGCAGAAGGGGCTGCATAATATAGATACACGGCCAGTCAGTGACTGCTGACACTTGGCTTTTCCCACTGTGATTATGTTTTGGAACTGAGGTCTTACTTAGTCCTAACCCGGGTGTGGGTGGAGACAAGTTTGAATTTCATGCTGCTCTGTCCCTGGAGGGACTCAGGTTTTCTCAATATTTCTGTATAATTGGAGGGTATCCTAGATCCTCACTCCTCAAAGTGGGGCCTCGAGACCACCAGCAAAAGATTCACCTGGGAGCTTGTTAGAACCACAGCATCTTGGCTCCCACCTGGACCTACTGAAGGAGAGTCTGCAGTCTTAACTCCTTCCAGGTGATTTGGATGCACCTTAATCACTGAGAAGCATCAGCCTAGGGCACGGCTCAGGCAGAGCAGAGCTGCACCTTGGAGCCTGTTTGGCCAGAATGCTGGCAGCCTTGGTCTGGAGGCCTGGGCTTAAATCACTGAGTCATACAAAACCTGGGTCCAGCCCATTGTCCTGAGGTCAGTGCTAGGGTCATACTCAGGCAACAGGAGCTGAAAACAGACAGGAGGAAGCTTCAGGACTTGAGGGGCCCATGGTTTCATAGGCAAATACTCCAGCTAGGCCAATACCTCAGTGCTCCTTCAAGCAAATAGACTTCATTGATTCGGAGTAGAGACCAAGTAAAGAATGAAGGGAGACCAGAGAACACGGACCCCCTGGTTGAACAGAGCATGGCCCCCACACTTGCAAGACTTACTCTGCAGAATACAAGGCTTGGAATTTTTCAAACATAATAGAACTTGCTCCCAGGGGTGTCTCACCCAACTTAGACAGCTCATCCAAGCATCCTTCCATTCTCAAAAAGCTTTCTCTCTGAGAGGCATGCTGGTAAAGTCATTTCCCTTATTCCATGACATTTCAAGTGATATTTAACAGTCATTAGGGATTCTCGACTCCCATCCCCTACCTTATGACTTCTTGGCAGCCCACCATTTAATGCAGCGTGGCTGAGAGGAGGGGCTTAGCTCAAATGATTGGCAGGTGGTCAGAGCCTGTGTCTGAGCCCTGCATGAGGGTGTGCTGCCCCTGCAGCCTTGGCCCTGTGGTGGCGTCCCACAGCCCCTGGCAGAGGCTCTCAGTGCATGGGGCCTGGAGCAGCCAGCAGAGATGATAGAACAGCACCAGAGGAGAGGAATAGTCCTGGGAAAAGGACCAGAGGGACAGTCTTGGAGGATGGAGACAGGGAGGTCGGGCTGAGTTGGAACATTGTTGCCTCCTCTGTTTGGGGCGACCATGTAAGCAGTGCCTGCCTATCTGCCTTTGCACCCCCTAGACCCTCAACATCGTGACTCCCCGTGTCCGGCCCGAGGACTGCAGCATCGGGCTCCTGCCCCGGAACCATGACAAGAATCGGAGCATGGATGTCCTGCCTCTGGACCGCTGCCTGCCCTTCCTCATCTCAGTGGATGGAGAATCCAGCAACTACATTAATGCGGCACTCATGGATGTAAGTTGAGCCCTGCCAAGGAAAGCTCCTGGAGAGCATTCCAGAGAAAAGTTTCTTCCCAAGGGGTAGTTGGCTAGAGTCCAGGGCCCTGACTCCTGCCCCCACCCCCCAGCTAGCCCCTCCTTTTGATCTTGTTGACCCCGAAGACCATTCTCCCTATAAATGCTCTGATCCAAACCTGTGCACAAGCTGTTAGCTCTTCTGCTCCCATAAAGATCCTGGAAAGAACAGACCAAAAGCTTAAAGTGGGTCTCCTGACACCACGGGGCGGCTGCAGGCCTGCCCAGGTCCCCCTCCAGCCACCCACAGAGCCGACTGTCAGCCTTAAGTTCAGTTCAGGAAACATTCTCCATGCCAGCCATGTTCCTAATTCTGTTAGAGGCACCGTATCCTGCTTTCTCAGCGTCACCTCCAAGAAGGGCACGCCTACCTTGACCTGGTTTGGGATTAGGGGGACATGGTCCTATCCCAGTGGGCCCACGCTCCTGACTTGAACGCTTCTCCCCGGGATCCTCCAGCTACTTCCAGTTACATCCCTCCACTTCCAGGATGTAGAGATGTTTGCAGCAGGAAGGAAGCTCACCCATGCACTTCCCAGCACTTCTCTGAGGCCAGAGAGAGAAAGAGGCTTGCTCAGAGACACCCAGAGAGCTAGCAGCAAAGCTGGCACCTGGAACTCCTGGCTCACACTCTAGAATTCATTCCTTCAGCCTCCTCACAGTTTGCTTGATTCAGTAAGACACATATCTTGCCTCCCGAGACTCAGGACCACAATCACCACTGCTTGACTGGGGATGAGCCCTTCCAGGTCCCTTTCCCCAACTATGACTGAAGTCATGTCCATCCAGTCCACATGAATCACCCGTCTTACCTAGAACAGGAAGGAATGTGGGATACTCTCTCCTGGGGTCATGGCCAACTATCTCTCTGACCTCTAGTTCTCTTGAACTTTCTCCCCAAGCATCTTAAGTGTTGGAGGCAGAGAGCTGACAGGAGGTCAAGGCCTGTCTCAGCTCTGTGAGGGCCTGCCCTGGCCTCTGCCCACAGGGTGCCCAAGTTCTCCCTGGGAACCCTGGCTCTGGTTCGGGAAGCAGGGAGTCTTGTTCTGGTCAGACCAAATATCTGGATGTGGAGGGAAGACCTGTGGCTTTAACGTGGAGTCTTCCACGTTACACATATGTGTCTTTGTGTGCATATGTGCACGCACTTGTGTGTGTGTGGAGAGAGGTGTGGTCTGGGGGTGCACCCACACTTTTAAGCTCCTCCCAAGCTTTGTCTCCCACTTGTACCAACCCCCAGTCCATGCCTTTTTCATCCAAGCAAGGATCAAACATTCTCCTGGCCTCTACTTAGTAGGTTAGATGCTGCCTGGAGTCAAATGCCCTCTGCCAAGCTCTGGTGCTGACTGTATTCTCTTTGTCCACAAGGCATTTCTCTGAGCCATCACTGGGGTCTTTGCCTTTCTTACAAAAAAAAAGTCCTTATCTGTATTCCAGCTTGGTCCGTGCATTATCTGGTAACCATGGCAGCTTTGCTTCTAGCAGAAAAATATGAAGTCCTCTGGGTTAATTTTTAATGTTTCCCCTGGTAAAGGATGATGTTATCCATGAAATGGATTGCTGGCTGATCTCTGAAACCCAGCAGGAGCACGGATCTCGAACATATTTTCAGATAAGGCTTTGTCAGGCGTGCTGGCCTAATAGAGCATTTATCACCGAGACAGGGAAAAAGGGAAGAAAACTCACGTTCACTGAGTGCTGGGCAGCATGTCGGACCCCAGACTTACACTGTCTCGTTCTGCGTTTGGGTGCGATTATTCCCGTTCTTCAGATGAGGTACTGAAGGTCAGAAAATTTTCATGACTATTTCCAGGTCAACTAGCTCGGAAAGGGTGGAGCCAGGGTGCGAACCCCAAGTCTTTCGACACTTAAAGCTTAGACTCTTTTCCGTGTTTGGAAATGTCTGCAGACCCCGCTGTCTGCAGCTGGAGTTTGGCTTTTGGGGAAACTCCTTCTGTTCTCTCAGATTCTTCCTCTGACTACTCCACTGGCAAGTGAAGACCCTTGGAAGACAAGACCCCCTAGTGCATCTGTGGCATCCACAGTTTCAAGGCATTTTCTTTGCCACCAGAGATAACAGAACAATGGGCGGATGCTCTAGGTTATCTTTTTGGCAGAGCCTGTCGCCAGAGACTTCACTTGGCTGGAATGGGCCAGCCCATTCCCTCCCCTCAACCTTATGCTGACCTGTGACCCCACTGAAAACAGCTGTGACTCCCACAGGAACCATCCCTCAAGAAAGCCTATGGAGAACATGGGTTACTTCTCAGCTTTTACAAACCACTGATGAAGCAGAAATGCTCCCCAATCTCTCCAAACACCTGCTCACAGGGTACTGTAGTAAACAGGGCTCGATCAAAGCTTCCAATGTAACGCAGACTCACACAGGCCATTTTCTCTCTGTCTCAGTTCCCCACCTGTAACACAGGGCTGAATGTATTCGGTTGTTTGCCGGACCTGTCCTGGGCATCTCGTGTGCCAGGCACGTTGCTCGTGCCGAGAATGAAGAGCCACGTCAGGGGTGTCCCTGCCCTGCTAGCCGACTCACAGCTGGGTTCCTGCTTGCTGGTCTCTTCCCATGAAAATCTTACGCAGTCTGCCCCATGGCTGTCCCTTCAGAGTTGTGAATCCCATCTTCCAGTTGAAGAACCTGAGATTTGGACAGATCTAATAACTTGCCAATGTCAGCACTGAAAAAAAAATCACTCTAGAAATGTGCTTGAATGAATGGCTGTTTGGATGGATGGATGGATGGATGGATGGATGGGTGAATGGGTGACTTATATAGCATTACAGCTGGCAAAGCTGGGTTTGAACCCAGATCTGCCTGACTCTGCCTGACCTGGGCACCTTCACTGCACTGTTGGCTCACAGGACTCAGTGCCCAGTGTCTGCCAGGCCAGCTCAGCCCTCATTCCAGCCTTCAGGTAGGAGTGAGCCTCTGGCTATATAAGCCCCTTCAGGAGGCTCTCTGGCTCAGGCTGAGCCAACCCCTCCTCCAGCCTTGTGGCCACAGGGACACATGATACCCCTTATATCCCAGGAGGTGCCTTGGCCAGCAGAGCAGCAACTCTGTGTCCAGAAATCTTTCATTTCATATTGCAATGATGATTATTTGCTGAGCTCCAAGAGATAAATAATTTATTTGGATAATCCCCATGCGAATGACACTTTCCTAATGAAATGTCTTTGTTTGGAGGAGAATGAGTTCATTAAGAGAAGGTCCCCTTTGCCACCAGGGCTCCCAGAGATAAGAACGGGCTGGTGCTTTGTGTCATCTGTTTGGCAGGCTCAGGGGCCTCAGGCAGCCATCTGAGCCTGCCCCTCATCAGAACATCCCTGATGGGTGTATATTTCACAAAGCCTTTGTCCTTTTGTCAGAGCCACAAGCAGCCCGCTGCCTTCGTGGTCACGCAACACCCTCTACCCAGCACCGTGGCAGACTTCTGGAGGCTGGTGTTCGACTACAACTGCTCATCCGTGGTGATGCTGAACGAGCTGGACAGCGTCCAGGTAGGAGGAGCCCGGCCGCGGCCCTGGGTGCTCAGGTGTGCGTCAGGGCAGCGTGCCCAGGAGTTGGAGGGACCAGCACAGTGCTGCCTCCAACTGTGAGCACCAAGTGAACCCATTCAGCAGAGGCTGGGTGGAGAGTCTCCTGCCAGGCCCTGCCACTCCCAGGCTGTCCAAATTCCAGCAGTGACTCCTCCTGACTATGGGCCTTGTCCAGCCACCCCGACCACTGCCCAGGGCCTGACTCTGTTGCTCCATCCCCCAGGCACTGGTTACAGTCTTGCTCCAAATCATGGATAGCTCACAGAGAAGGCTGCCTCCCCCAGCTTTGAGCATCTCCACCCTGCAGAATATCCTGCTATCTGGCCATGCTCACCCACCCTGCCCGCTCTGGGGTGCAGCCTGACTGACAGAGCTTGGGGTTTGAACCTAAGACCCTTTGCCCACTGATGACCCCATCAAGACCTGGCTTTGTCACAGGTGTCCCTTGTGTCCCAGCAGGCTTCAGGCCTTAGCTCCCCTGCATCTGCCAGCTCCAAGCATCACGTGCCTACAGCACATCCCCATACTCAGGACACAGGACACGTGTCATGGGACAGCTTCTGGGGCTCACACCCCCATGGCAGGGCAGCCTTCCTGGGCGGAGGGGGTGATGGGGGCCCTTTAGAGTTTTGGAGAGCAGTCCCATCACTGTCTTGAAGGAAAGTCAGAGTAACTCAGCGTACTCCTGTGTGAGGACTGGCCTCGGGCAGGCCTCGTGTGGAAGGAGAAAAATGGATCTGAGCTGTCGTCACAGCACTCCAGGAGCTCATAGTCTTGTTGCAGAGACAGATGAGCACATTGTCCCCACCTGGTGTGGGGACACAGTAACAGAGGTCAGCAGTGAAGTGCTGCGCTGGCCGCGAACAGGGAGCAATTAATTCTGCCCGGAGGGTGAGGGAGGACTTCAAAGGGAAGGTGACTTTGGCATTGAAGGCGGCGGCAGAGGTTTGGCGTTTAGGGAGTGATGTCGCTGGGAAAGTCCCTCCAAGCAGGGGGACGGCGGGGGCAGCGGCTGGCAGCTCAGTGAGGAGGCTTGTCTGCAGAGCAGCTTCGGTGACAGTGCGCCTGGGGCTTGCGGTATGTCAGGAGAAGAGGGTGGTGATGCTGGAAAACACAGCAGGGCCAACTTGCAGAGGGCTGCCCGTGCGGGCTAAGGGGTCTTGGCCTGCAGCATGGTATCAGGCTTTCATTCTGTAAGCAACAGAGTCCTTTCTGCGAATAAAAGCTTTCATGCAGGCCTAACCTTTGAAACAGGGACAATTAAGAGCTGCTCGTGCTGAAGCAAGGGGTGGGGTCAGGAACTCCACCCACACTGGTCTTTTGGCTCTACCAGGTGCCCCTCCCTGGAGAGGCAGCCACTCTGGGCACTTTTGTGGAACCCCTGCTGTTCCTAGGAGCACGGGCAGAAAGGATGTGCTCTGCGGGGAGGGGGACACTGAAGAGTTTAAGCGGTTGTGCAGCAGAGCCAGAACTCCTGTTAGAAAACTGGGTCAGGGGACCAGTGAGGGGACAGGCTGGAGGAAAATCCTGGAAGCCAGGAGTCTGGGGAGGAGATGGTTGCAAACATGCAGAAGATAAAGCAGGTGATCTGAACTGAGGAGGGGGCCAGGAGGCAGGAGAATTGGGGTTCGGTGGGAAGACATTTCCAGAGATGAGGTCTACAGGTTTAGGGAGAAGTTGGATGTGGGAAGTGAATGAGACAAAGTCAGGATGGTGACAGGGGTTCTGCTGTGGGCTGTCAGGCATCCGGGATGTGACTGGACAAGATGGGGCAGCAGGAAGTTTGGGAAGGCAAGGAGAGGAGCAGATGACAGTTGACCTCTGAACAGTGCAAGAGTTAGGGGCGCTGATCATCCGTGTACTCAAGAATTGGCATATAACGTATAGTCAGCCCTCCGTGTACGCAGCTCCTCTGTACCCACAGTTCCCCCATATTCACGGCTCTTACATATATGCAGATCATGCAGCGCTGTGTTATTTACTATTGACAAAAATCCTCATGTAAGTGGACCCATGCAGTTCAGACCCAAGTTCAAGGGTCAGCCGTAGGAGAATGGAATGTAATGCAAGCTGGGGTGTGTATGTTGGAGTCGTTCAGGAGAAATTCCTTTCATTCATTCAGTCCACGTTTGTTGAGTAGCTGCTATCTGCCGGAAGCTATTCTAGGTGCTTGGGATCGCACCAGTTAACCAGAAAGAGAAAGCAAAACAGCAAATTCTCATCTCTTGTGCAATTTCTATTCTAAAGCAGGGGAGACAATAAACAGCAAACACTCCATAACGTACTTAATTGTATGTTAAAGGTGACTGGTATGTGGGAAAAAGAAAATAAGAGGGTAGGATAATGAAGATGGAAGGCTGGTTTGGGGCACTGGACGTACCTGTAATTCAGTGACGAAGGTGGGCTTCGCTGAGGTCATATATGAGCACAGATTTGGAGGTGCAAGAATGAGCCATGTGACGTCTCAGGGAAGAGCACCCCAGGCAGGGGCCCAACCTGCACCAAGGGTTTATGGTGGAGGAACAGCCGGAGGCCCTTGCGACTGGGGCAGAGCGAGTGTGGGAACAGCAGCAGAAAGTGACACAGAGACACAGCAGGGCCAGGTCATGGAGGGCCTTGTGGGAGGGGAGGTGTCATAGGAAGAACTTGGTTTTACTCTGAGAGAAATGGGGAGCCACCGACAGGTCTTGAACAGAGGAATGACTCGAGAAAGTAATTTGACTTTGTTTTCAAAGCATCCTTCCGGCTACTGTGTTGAGAATAGACTGTTGGTGCAGGAAAGGGAAGAGTTGTTGCTAAGAGTGGGAACAGAGAGAAAAGAGAGGAGGCTCCTGCAACAACCCAGGTGACGAGTGATGATGGCTTGGGCCTGGGTGGTAGCAGTGGGGTGGAATCTGGGTATATCCTGACGGAAGACCCAACAAAATATCCTGCCAGATTGAATAGGGAATGTGAGAGAACAAGGAGTCAAGAATGGCTCTAAGGTTTAGGACCTGAACAATGGACAGCTGGAATCTGAGATAACCATACATGTAACAGATTCCCATCAAACAAAGCCCCTGCGGAGTTCCAAAGTCAGAACACATCACCACCCTATTCCTTTGCCTGAAAAAGTGAAACAGTGAACTCTGCTCTGTGAGCCCATGAGTGAAGTAGAGCCCTTTCCCCAACATCCCTTTTTGCAAAACCAGAGCCCAGGCACAGAGGAGGCGTTTCCAAGAATCTCACTTTGGGATGTAGAAAGAAGCAAGGGTCAAGGTCACTGGCAAGGGTGGGTCTTGGGTGAATGAAGACCTTTCGGCCCCAGATGTTGGTGCAGGCTTTGAGAGCTGATTCTCTAAATGCAGAAACATCAGGCTCAGAAGTGCCCCGAGGTTGGCTGCCATATGCGGCTGGC